CATTTTATAGGAAAGACTATGTTATATGTTCAGGATATGTCATTTTTTAATTTTTACTTTCAATAACTTTCTGTATTTCAGGGTTTTAGTCTTATATGTCAGTGAATAAGAGTTTTCACTGATATAACTATTGATTTATTCACACCTAACTCTATGTAAATCTTGTTTATATCTTTCCTCTGATATACTTTCCACTATAGAGAGGTAACAACATCACCCACAAACAGGAACGATTGTGACCTTGTCTGTTCTGTCGTTATTCTTTTCTTTTTAAAGACATATTTTTAAAAATCTCCCTCTGTGCCTGTAAAACTGAGGTGCCCCAGTTGAATTTTTTTCATTTATTTTTGTTTTGCCCTTTCTGACTTAATTTTCTGTTGTTCGTTTGATGCCTCCCCTCCCCCATATACCATATAGGGTGCTAGTGATGCTAATCCAAATATGCTAGGTTTTCACTGTCATCAGGATGAGACTAGATCACTGCAGAAATGCTACCAATATGTGTAGATTGACCATTAGATTTGCTCCTTGAGGTTAGGAACTACATCACTTTCTTGTGTATCCCCAACACTTAGATCAGTACCTTTACATAGTAGGCACTTAAGAAATGCTTATTGATTTATCCCTTTAATCTTGTGTATTTGTTGTCTTCTCCATTAATTTGTCTATAAATGCCCTTGGAATAACCTGACTGAGTTAGGTCTCTTGCCAGGCTTCCTCTAGTCCTGCTTGTTGCTTCCTTCACTACTTTTTCTGCTTTGTGAAGAGATGCTGCTCATCATGTCTCTCATATGATATTCTGCAAGGAAGCCGACCTTCTAAGCTACTATTTCCTTTGGCTGACATCTTCGCTTATTGAGAAGATAAGGTGTTTAGCTCATGAAGGCCACTTCTTGGCTGTTTAGGTCTTCTCATTGGGGTGACTATTGTATGTTAGTTAAATTTCCCTAATCAATGTTGCTAATTAGTCCCTAATTAATACTGCTGAAACATCTTGTTTAAATAGGTTAGATGGATACTGTTGTATATATAATATCTACTGAACTTTAACCTTCCCCCCCATTTTGGGGTTAGTTTTGACCCTTTATCTAATTAGTCTACAACCTGATTACATAATGACAATTCATTCTTTTTTCTTTTGCTCTTAATAGCTTGTGTTTTTACATAAATTATATTTCTCAATATATCATTTCCTTTTTCTGGCTTAGAGAGTTATCTTTGATAAAAAAAGAATATAAATGAAAAAATAATAGTTCAACAAAACTAATGAAAACTAATTTCTTTTCCAACTTTAATTCAATGTTTGATGTTTGATATACCTAGTCCCTCATCTCTGCAAAGAAGTGAGGGAGATATGGTTTCATAATTCAACTTTGGATCCAACTGTGGGCATTATAAATTTACATCATTCAGTCAAAACCATTTATTGGTATTCTTTCTGTTCGTGTTGTTATAATACATATATATGTGTGTGTGTATGTGTGTATGTATGTATATATGTATATACACACATACATATATGTGTGTGCATGTGTATGTATTGATTTTGTTTACTTTATTTTGTATTAATTCAGATAAATTTCCCGTGCTTCCTTGTATTTATTACTTCTTACAATGTAATAATAATACATTGTATTCATGTATCACAATTTGCTTAGCCATTCCTCAGTTGCTGAGCATTTACTACATTTCTAGTTATTTGATGCTATAAAAAGTTGACAGTTTTTTCTTTGATAACTTACACACCAGGATCCACATATTTTCTATCGGTTAAAATCTAGTCAGTTTTAATTTTTTATCATGTTATTTGACATTCTCCAAGTGGTATAGAGGATAGAACACTGGACCTGGAGTCAGGAGGACCCAGATTCCAAACTGGCCTCACAAACACACAAGCTGTGTGATCCTAAGAAAGTCACTAAAACCCTATTTGCCTCAATTGCTCTTCTGTAAAATGAGCTGGAGAAGAAAATGGGAAACCACTGTAATGTCTTTGCGAGAAAAACCCCAAATGGAGTCACAGAGAGCCAGACACAGCTGAAAGAACTCAATAACAACAAATATTCTTTTTCTTTGGCCTTTCCTTAAGGAAACTATCTATTACACCTAAGCATGAGGGTTCTGAGTAAACCATTTTTGGCTTCATTCATTTCTTAATTACCAAACTTTTTATATACACACACACATGCACATATATGTATGCATACATATATGTACACACAATACACATGCATATATGTGTGTATACAAACACATACATGTATGTATATATTCTTACACACCTATAGACATATACACTCTGTGTGAGTATTCATTCTGTAGCAAATGTTGCTGCCTAAGCTGCAGTTATCTTTGTTGTTTGTTCATACACATTACGATCACTTAAAGACAAGCATTTCCACAAACTTCTTTATTTGCCCCTCTGAGGAGTTATCATTCAATTTGAATACAACTTCTTCATATTTTTTGGTTTTATCTGTAATGAGAACTTATATTTGATGGGATTCCGTCCTTTTGCTAGTATATCAATTCATTGGTAATGGATAAAGATGTCCCATTCAATCTGAAACTCTGATTCCTAGCATCTTTTGCCCTCTTTTCCATTATTACTCCTCTACTATCCTTAGAGAAGTGGGTAAAGTTCGTATGAAATGAAGGGCCATTTCATATCTATTTATTTATGGTTTTTTTTTTATCTGCAAGGCCCCTAATTGCATTGTTTAGTAGCCATCCTGTTAAAATTTATCCTCTTTGCATACGGCACAGTTTACTTTCAGCCAACAGAGTATATATCCAGCCCTACAATGGAAACCTTTTTTCCTTAGTTATGGAATCATACAGACAGCGTAAGAAAAACCAAAGGATTTCTTTTATTATATAAAAATCAAAGCAATTTGTTGGCAATGTAAATTATAATAATAATGAAGATGATAGTTGCTCCTGAAGCTGGTTCAGTAATTTCTTGGAGTGGAAACTTTAGCAGACACCGAATGTGAATGGCTCAATATATTTCAATCTATTAGTCAATTATTTTTAGATTATACATACTGACTATTAATGGAAGAAACTTCCTTTTTGAAGTTGATTTTCAACCTAATATGCTAATTTAAAACACAGAAATGTCATATATAGATTAAATATATGTGAGCTGATCTACATTTTTGAAATGTACTGTCTTAGATTTGAATTTCAATGTAGAGTCCTTTCTTGGTCTGTAGCACAGGTAAGACAAAAATGTTAACTCAAAGTGAAGGTGAATATGATTTATGGGGAATGTATTTTAAAGCTCTGGAATAGAATTTTAAAGTATAGGTAGTATCAAGCAAAGTAGAATAAAATGAATAGAACAGGTAAGATCCACCTCTAACTGAGGAAAATAGAAGCATCTTGATGGAAGGTGTGACACTTGAGCTTTACCATTAAAGATGAGAAAGATTTCTGAAAAAGGTAGAGTTTCATGTGTAGAGATAGTGCTAGGGGTGACAGGGAAGAGGTACATCATGTAAGACAGTGTGGAGAACCCCACAGAGTCATTAATGGCTGCTAATAATGGGAGTGAATATAATGTAGACATGAGATAATTTGGAGAGGAAGTATGAATAAGGCTTGACACCATGACTGGATGTGATAGGTGAGGAAGAGGGAAGAGTTAAGAACAGGCTGACATTTTTGAAAGCTAAGATGATATTTTCACCCTTTCTAAAGGTTGACATCTTTACTTCACTAACCAATATTCCTTATTGATGAGAATTCAGTAAAGAGTATCTATTTTTTTTTACCTTATGTAAAGTGGGATTGTAGTGAAGAAAGTGCTTTATAAAACAAAAAAATGCTATGTAAACAAAGTCGAATAAAATGATCTCTAAGGACACTTTCAGACCTATGTTCCTAATTTTTTCCTAAACAATTTTTATCCATTAATTACTATGTACAAAACTATCATATATCATGCATTTGTGTGAGAATGTATAATAAATATGTTATTATAAAGCTTATGGTGAAGTAGATTAGATAAAATGTTCCCTTTCCAGACAAATTAATGAGAAGAAATTTTATTAATTTAAGTCTTTTATGTTCCAATAAAGAATTACTCTATATAGAAGTTGCCCACCATTGACGGCAAGTTTCTCTTACAGTACATCTATCTATTGTTCGATAAATAGATACTACTCTCTTTTGAGGTGGGGGGAGAATTTCAGCTTAAATAGGAAATCAACTGGGACTGCAAAAATAAAACTTCATCTAGATCAATGGCACAGCATGACCTTATTTACATAATAGCTAATGAGAAGAACCCCTTCCTGAGCTGAGTAAGCAATAGTGTCTATGTAAATTCCTTTTTTCAGGATCCATAATGCTTACAGAGTTACATGCAGATTATCTTTGAAATAATATCACATAACATAAAATGTGAGTCTAAAAAATAATTCTTTCAGACTTTCTGTCTTGTGTAAAAAGATTTTTCTCAAAGTTTCAAGTCCTGACACAGGGATTACTAAAACATGCAATGGAAACTTTTCAATGGCTCTGATTAAAGTTATTTACTCCATTCATGTTTTGGATTTTACCCCCCCACCCAGAGAAATGGGTAACTGGGACTCCAGAAGACTGTGATCCAGATAACTCTATGCTTATAGTACATTTACTTAATATTATGTCTACGGAGGTATAAAATTTGACCAACTTGGTGAAAAATCATCCATATCATTATTTGGGTTCAAACAACAACTGAACATTTGATGCGATGATGCACTGTTTTCATCTTAAATAGTTATGGCCCAGTACAGAAGTTAGACTTCATCTGCCTTGATAGAACACTTCACCCTCCTTGCCCACTGCCACATACGCCCCTGAAACAAAGTCGTAGAGAATGAGAGCACAAACTGTGGTCTGCATTTTGCAAGACCTGTTCAATTTCCTGATTAAGATGAATGAAAGTGATTAATATATATTTAAGTAACCTATTAACATTGCTTATGAAGAAAAGTATCAGTTCCTACCTCCATTATCTCTTAAATGTAGAGCTATCTTGGTATCATCTGGAAAAGAAATTCAAAGTTATTACAACGGGAAGCTTCCCTTAACAATATCATAAATCTCATTAGCAAGATTATTCTCCTATCTGACTTAGCTATGACATGATTAGAATTCACCATTTTGTTGAGAATCACTTTCCAATTCAACGAGGCTGGCCCTACGAGGTGACAACACAATATGGTGGCCGTATTTGAGGTTGCGCCTTTCAATAATCGTAAAAAATATCACTGTGATTAAGGATCTCAAGACGAAGATTTTAGTGCACATAATGTATAACGCAATACACAGAACATTACATGAAGGGAATGTTAAAAGATCAATGTACTGAGGGTTAGAATAGGGTTATTGTTGTTATTACTATTATTATTATTATTATGTTGTTGTTATTATCTCAACTCTGCCCCAGTTTAACTGTGTGATATTGACCAAGTCACTTCACTTCTCCCAGATTCAGTTTACTAATTTGTAAGACACAAAAAGGTCAAGATAAACGACCTTCAAGATTCCTTCCAGATCTAAAATTCCATGCGTTTATACAAATTATACATACTCTAAGACTGATAATGTCTGTTCGCATTGTTAAATTGTCTTGATCATAATGGTCATGGGATCACAGAATTTAGAGATGGAATATGCCTTAGAAGTCATGTATTCAAACATTTTCATTTCATAGATTAAAAAAAAACCACCTCTGAGAGGTGAGATGAGTTGCCCAAAACTACACAGGTATGTACGTGGCAAAGATAACATTCCATTCATTTCAAATGAATAAATGTTAAAGATCTACTAAGGGAAAGCAATAGTGTTAAATTGTGGGATTTGAACCCAAGTTCAGTTTCAAATCCAGTGATCTTTCCACTACCCCATAATTTATCATGACATATATTTTCTTCTGTACAACCATTAACTGTGGTGACACTTTTAAAAAGTGTCTTAATACTTAAATATTTAAGTATGGCTTTATTTTCTTTCTTAAAATCTTGGCAGAGAAAAAGGTCAACTTAATTTAGATTACAAGTTTGTCCCCAGGGACAGATTTAATTTCAGCTTTTAAATACTGAGATGTATGACGAAGTGACCCCTAATAAGGTATCAGAGATCTTTCTCTTTCTTATGGAACTAGACAGTGCCCATTGCTATGTGTCACTGTTAACTTATTAATTCCATAACCTATTAATTGTTTTTTTTCACACTGTGATATGAATAACAGGAACAATTTAGGTTTGCTGTGTTGTCAATACACAAAGAACAACATGTAGCTTGGCCTCAGGAAAATACATAGACATATTTAATAATTGTGTATCAATTATCTTTGCTCTGGTCATTTTCATGCCCATTTGAAACTCAACAAAGGGAAATAAGGTAGAATCTTAATTTAATATCATATTCAAACAAGAACATTTCAGTGACTCTAAAGGTAAGGGTACAAGAAGGACATTCTTAGCTTCCTTAGAGCGATCTTTCTTTTGTCACTCAGGTATCACCATCTTTCTAATCAAATCAAAGGAGAGTATACAAGGAAATTCAGAAGTGGATAATATCGTATGCTCCCCGTTCATACTTTTCTTTCCATGCTCTTAATTTTCATTTAAGTCATTTTGTCTCACTTAGAGCAGGATCTACATCTCCCCTTAATTCTGTGACCCACACAAAGTATCATATATGATACGAAGAGTGAAGTAGGGTAATTAATCTTTTTGATTGGCTGATAATAGAATAATCATCTCAAATATTAGACTTAGGTTCTTTTAGATTGTAAATCTTTTGTTTTCCAAATACAAATTTGTTGGGTATTTGACAAACATAGGCCCACTTTATCATATAATAGCAAGGTTCTGTCCTAGCCCTAGAAAGTCTAGGAAATTTTCTTTTTTAATTTTGTGATTCATTTCTAGGAAAAACAATCAGGTGTTGTGTGATGGAGAAAGGAATGGTCCAACAAACTCCAAGAAAGATGTCCCAACTAACTCTTAAAGATAGAGAAAAGGAACCTAGAAGACATTTTACTCTTTAATACTTTTTGTATTCCAAAGAAACACTAAAAACCATGATTTACCAATAATTAACTTTCCTTTTAAAATTAAAAAAAAATCAGATGTTTACCACCTTCTGTGGGGAGGCTGGTTGGTAGTTGTGGTGAAGTTATTCTTCTGGTGGTAGTTAAAACCCTGAATTGCGTAGTTGTTGATTGCTGGGTTGTGGTTGTCTGGGAAGATGTTTCACCTGGCTCTGTGTTGTCACACATCTTCTCTTTGGACTGGCGAAGACAAAAAATAAAATCAGAATTAATAATAAATGCTTTTTTAATCAGATAAAAGTATTTTATTGTAGAAATAAATTGTGTGAATCAAGAACATAAGAAAATAGATCTAAGGCCAAGATATGAAGAATACAATTTTGAATAGGACTATATTTATATACTTCATTCACTAAAATTATGAAATAATTTAAGGCAAAAAGAAATATAACTTATCACTGCCATAGATGATACTTCATTTGCCTTCATTTAGCTTAGGTGGCTATGTATGCTTATATGGATGTATGTGCATGTATATACACATAGACATACATATATACATAAACACACATCCATCAGTGCCTGGCACATATAGGCATTTAACTAATGTTTGTTTAATTGAATTTACTACGTTATACAAGCATCCATCTAGAAATATTGCCGTATTTTTATCGATTGTCATTTTAGTTTTGTCCCTGTTGCTCTCTTTATTGACAGGAACATTGTAGAAGAATAATAATTGTTCCTTTGAAAAAAGAGAAGTTGGGAAATGGATTAAATTACATCACTACTGACACCAGACTGAATACAATTTTAGACATAATTTGACTGAAGAAGGGGCAGCAATATGATCCTTAGATTTTAATGGCTTCCTCTAGGATCTATTGCTACAGGTCTTTATGGATATATTGTCTTTTTGTTACCTCCCCTGGGAAAGATTTAATGTTTTTTAACCTCTTCTATCATCTGGTCTTTCGGTACTTTTTTTTTATTTTTGGATGTCTGTCAACAGTGAATAAAGGAATCTATGACTTTTTTAAGTGATAGTCATTACTTTTATTTACCATCTCTTCTTTAAAACTTGATGGAAAACGTGAAAACATGGAATAATTTTCTTCAGGTCACAGCAGGATATCTACAAGGCCATTTGGCTACTGGTTGGAGGGTGGAGTCCATGAAATCCACACCTCCCTCCTCAGCTCTGCCTACTGACTTCCCTAGATTATTTAGATACCAACTAAAATCCTATCTTTTACAGAAAGCCTTTCCCAACCTCTCTTTTTTTTTTTCAGCCAAAGACAAGGATTATTAAAGATCCACCATATTGGCCAAACTCTAGGAATCTGAGCACCTATGAGCTAGTGGCCAGACTGTAAAAATCTCAGCAGTGGCTAGATTATAAGAATCAGAGCCGTGGCTAGGTTTTAGGAGTCTGAGACCCAACCTCTCCTAATCATAATGCATTTCATTTGTCAAATATTTCCTATGTATCTCATATATAGGTTGCTTTGTATATATTTGTTTGCACATTGTCTCTCCTATTAGACTATAAGCTCCTTGAAGGCAAGGGCTATCTATTATTTCTTTCTGAATTCCTAGCTCTTAACACAGTATCTGACACATAGTAGGTGCTTAATAGATGTTTATTAATTGATCCTCTTTGAAAACAGGGACAGAGAGTTTATGCCTAAAATACATGAACAATCATTTTCTTTTATGTGGTATAGGTTAGCAATGATTGTCATTATTTTTCCTGAAACCTATTGAACTTATAAACTAAAGGAAAATCTTAGTTTTAGTGGTTCTCTTCATTACAGTTCACTATGCAACATAAGACAATATATCCCCAAGAGCTTTGAGCCTGTGCTGTTAAAAGACCTACATACCTCTTCAGGGCAACCACTGTCTACCCAGTCTTGCCGGTGTCTATCAAATCCACTGGAGCATCTTGATACGTAGGTCAAAATGTAATCCATAGGAGAAAGATTCAAGACACAGGAGAGAATGGGGGGGGAGAAGGAGAAAGGGTAAATCATCTATTTTAAAATTTTCCCACTTTAGCATATTAGAAGCTTTCTTGTAGAGAATAAACAACTTGAAAAGTCTAAAATTGTTTAAAGCTTTTCAGTGTGTTGGTCACTCTCTAGATGGACCCATTATTGCAATTACACTCAACAATAAATTCTTGGTCTAAATAACTGGTCTCTGATACTTATTTAAATCCCACTTATGGTAAATCAGATGTGATATTCTCATGTTCACGTACCGAGTTCCCTTGTCCCTTGAAAATAAATATAGGCGCATTTCCACTAAATATCCATATTATAATGATCTCATTATGGGGAATGCAGATATGTATTAAATGAAATGGATACATTGTGCAGACAAAAACACTTAGTGATATAGGAATTCATAACTGGGGATAAGTTGGTAAGATCTTATCCACTCATACCACTGCAGGACATAAAAAGCACAGTGACTGTAATCTCACATGATTTTTCTAGGCATGACGCGTTATTTTTCTTCCCCAGATCACATTCAGCTCCAACACAAATGCCACTTCTTCCAAAAAGCCATTCCTTATCACTTACGCACAAAGTTATTATTTTCTCATCTTACAGCACCTAATGTTTTCAGTTCTCAGAAATTCCTTCAGTTTTCTTATGTTTCTATCTTGTTTCTCCAATTGGAAAGAATACAAGCATTGTGTGGGCAAAGACTGCATTACATTCCTTTATTTCTGTTATTTTCTTCAACACATTAACTTTTAAATTCTAGGTCTTCAATAAATATGGCTATGACCTAGGCTAAGTTTTTGACTGAATTAAAGAAATACATACACTTAATTCTCAAACTCTGGGTACCCAAGGAAAATATGCTCATGGTAGTTGGCTTTTTCATTTTACTTTCCTAATGGCACCTTAATATTACTGCTTTACATATTCCTCCTTCAAATATTTTACTGGGACTTCACTCAATAATTCACTCATCTGTTCTTCTCTCTACTTATTCCTTTGTCATAGATGTTGTGCCGTGGTATGAATGAATATAATTTAACTCAAGTGGAATGAGATACAGCCAAATTGTTAGCAAAAAAAGACTAGATCTATCATTCTCTCCCAAAAGGGCCATTACAGATGGTCTGTTCAGTTCCAGCCATCTGTGCTGAGCAAACTGAAGTAGTGAATAAATACATGGGTTAGAATGTTGCTGAGTTGGGGATTTTCCCTTTTTTTTTTTTTTCTGGCCAATACTTTGGCATATTTAAATTCTGACCAATGTATTTTTGTTGCTCCCCTGGAGGGTTTCTCTGGTGCTTCATTGTGGTGTGCAGGTGATCCTAAGTTCTTAAAATTTATCTGCTGGCAGAACACAAAATCTGACAGGTCCTACCCATGGCTCCAAAGGATCTGGCATCTGTTATTAAAAAAAAAAATCCTAGCTACTCTCAGAGACACTGATCATCAAGATACCCATGAGCCCCCAGGTAATGATTTTTATTTGGTTTTGGCCACAAAAATGCATAAAATCTACCTAAAAGGCATAAAGGTTTTACAAGTCATCCTACTAGAAGGAATGCCTGCATCAATGAATAGCAGAGCTTTTCAAGTTTTAATTTATTGAAAGGCTCAATTTATTTAATTTGAAATCTTTTTTCCTTTCAGTTGTTTCTTCCCTCTCATCTTCCTTCCAGTACATAGCACAGTGCCTGACACACAGTAGGAATTGAATAAATATGTATTTACTGACTCACTTCCTTCTTGGAAAAAAAAACAAAAACTTTTGAATAACGGAAGGTGGCAATTGTCTAGGAAAATGCATCTTGGGAGATAAGTGGTGCAAATTAAATACAAATTATTTTTACAAAGCACCTAAACTTTACTTGCTGAACTCTAGAAGCATGCCAATTCAGTGGAGAATCATGATTTTCTGTTTTATGGTTCAACAAGATAATTTCAAATTTGGAGTTCCATACTATAGGAGGCCTGTGGTAGTGGCCTAGTGGCAATGATTGGCCATGATATGGGGAGCAGTTGACGAGTTTTTGAATGTGTCAATGGGACTTAAAAAGAGATTCATTTAGAAAAGCATAAATTCACACTCTGATTCTACCAGTCGTTTTAGAAGACAGTATAGTATGGTGGGAAACCACTGACTTTGCAGATATAGGACCAAGTTCATAATTCACCTACAGATGCTTAAAACCTATGTGACCTTGGGAAGTAAGTTAAACTTCTTGGCCCTCGGTTTCCTCATTAGGGAAAGAAAATGAGGGGAATTGCCTTACTAGACCAAGGATTCTTACCCTGGGGCTCAGAAACATTTAAAATTATGTTCTGATAACTGCATTTCATCATAATTAGTTGTTTTTTTTTTTTTTTTTTTTTTTGCAATCCTATGTGGTTGATTTTATGCATTTATAGCCATTCTACAAAGGGTTTTGTAGGATTCCCCAGGCTACCAGAGGGTCCAGGACATGACAAAAGTGAAGACCATCTGTATTACATGGACACTAAAGTTCTTTTTCCAGATCTAGATCTAAGATCCGATATCACCTCAAAGAAAGCAGGAGAGTGAAACATAGAACTGGATAGTAAGTCTAAGATACCTAATCACTAAAGAAGCTGCCATTCTAAGCATATGTTGTTGATCAATGGATTTATCATAAGGATTTATAATAAGAATGACAAACCATTCCATTATCTATGCCAAGAAAACTCCAAATGAGGTCACAAAGAGTGGGACATGACTGGAAAATGACTGCACAAATTATAGTTAGAATTTGGTTTACAAATCAGAATTGAAAGCCAGGCAGGATCCCTGTTATTTTGTTCGTATAAAATCAAAAGTAACAGCATTACATCAGAGTGAAGGTGCTGAATTTAGGGAGGTGACTGAAAACCAGCAAAACTGGTTCCCTTTTACTCAGCACAAGACAACTAGTGACAGGGAATTCTAGAAATGAAATGTAAGAATAAAACAATACAATTCAAAGAATTTTAGAGCATCATACAGCAGGGAATACAGGTTTCTATCCATCACCAAATTGGTTGGCAGAATAAAGTTTTATCCTAGATAGATTAATCTGCTAACAGTTTTAAAGATTTCCCTGGGCAAACTGCAGAACCTTGCAGTAAGCGATGGTATTATCATAATTAACAGCCCAGGCCTCCTGGTGTGAGATAACTCCAATTGTCTCTTTTGAAAACTTGAAAAGCATAAATTCATCTGTTTAATGTGCCCTAAAAATCTCCAGAGGGGCAGCTGGGCAGTGCGGTGAATAGAGTGCTGGGCCTGTAGGCAGGAAGACTCATCTTCATGAGTTCAAATTTGACCTCAGACACTTATTAGCTATGTGACCCTGGGCAAGTCATTTAACCCTGTTTGCCTCAGTCTCCTTATCTGCAAAATGAGTTAGAGAAGGAAATGACAAACCACTGCAGTATCTTTGTCAAGAATACTCCAAATGGGGTCACAAAATATCAGACACAACTGAAAATGACTGAACAGCAACAAAAATCTTCAAATTCCATCCTGACCATTCAGCAGTTTGTGAGGACACGCTGGTGAGCTGATATCATATTCTTCAAAGTCAGCTCTAACAGAAAGAAAATTGTTTGGTTCTAAGCAAACCGATCGATAAAACACATAGGAAATGTACGGAAATACAAAGATACAGGGACCTAGAGAGGACATGTCTATCTCAATTAATGAATTAGAATCTTTATGTCACTGCCTCAAGGGACTTGGATTTCAGATTCAGCTTTTAATATGACTTTCATGAATAATTCTTTTGTGACATGGGAATGACAAAATAGATTTATTTGATTAAATCTTGTAATGAATGAGAACATGACACAAGGTGCCATTCACAACTGGAATTCTAAGATGGCGACGGTAAGAGACGATTGAAATTACATAAATAACCCACAGTTAGGACACCGGCTTTGTATTCACAAGAAAACTAATATACTTTTTAAAAATTTTAAAATACAGATTCTTTTTGCTATATCCCAAACTACAATTTGCAATAGGTTGATTCCTATCTTTAGTTTCCAGAATATAATTTTATTTGTGTATTAAAATGGAACCTTCTTAATCAAATTGATATAGAACAGAGCCTCAAATGAGCTGTATTTTTCTCCACTCCAATTCAATAAGACACTGGTTTAAAAGTCCCCAAAGGACCATATTAAGTTAACACTATTATATTTTGCTAATCTACCACAATCTATCAGATGACATGCTCAAAAGAGAATTCACCACCTTCCCCAACTGACCCTCCTCTAAATATCCCTATTTCTGTTGAGGATATCACCACCATCCTAGTCATCCTTTTCTTAGAGTTACACTTGACTCTTCATTCTTTCCCATACTCTGGATCCATTCTGAAATTATATCTTATCCATTTCACCTCCAGAAGATTCTACTTATTACTCTCCTTTTTATTTACTCCTTTACCCTTCCTCTTAAATCAGACTCATATCAACTTTTACCTGGACTAGTTTTGTAATGGGTCTCCAAGATTCCAGTTTCTACTCTTTCCAATCCATCCCATACACAGCTGACAAAATAATTATCCTAACACACATGCAAAAGTCTTCAGTGGTTTCCTGTTACCACTAAGATAAAATGCAGACTCCTTGGACCAGCATTTAAAATCTCCCACAATCTGGTTCCAACCTACCTTCCAGACATTTCACATTGACCCCTCCTCACCTTTACGTTATTCCACATTCCAACCAAACTGTACTGACTTCTAGACATTGTCCAAACTCGACATTCCATCTCATGTCTCCATGATTCTGAACAAATTGTTTCCCATTCCTGAGATGTATACTTTCTAAATCTATGAACCTAAATCCTTATTCTCCTATAAATTTCAGCTCAGCTTCAACCGTCTAGATTGTGCTAGGGATAGAATGCTGGGCCTGCAGTCAGAAAGA